GTTTAGTTTTACCCCACTAGGGTAAACATATAAATGAAAGCCACTCCAAATTCCCTGCTCCTTGGGCTCAGTATAAAGATCTTTAGCTGAAATTTCTGCTTTTCCACAGACATGCTATCTGGGCTGTTCTACAGACTTCAGTTTAGTAAGCTCTTTTCAGGGATGGTGTGGGTTTAGCTGACTCAGCAAATTCTTTTTGCCTCCAGAACAATCACTAGGTTGGACGCTTTTCCCTGGTGTTGTCTGGCTTGTAGTGTCCTTGCAGGGTCTCAGAGACAAAAGAAAAGGAAGGGGAAAGTAGGGGGCGGGAGGAAGGGAGAGGTAGCTAGTGATTGGTTTGGCTGACCCTTACGTGGTTTCCTTAGTATGGTGAGGTTGGCTTTCAGCCAAGGTGATTGTCCCCCCCACCCCCTACACCTTATCTATACAGGAATATGCAAGAATGCAGGTTCCACCCAGGGGGGAGTAAAAGTTTCCCCTGGAATGGCAGTTTTAAGAACATGGTGCTGATTATGTTCTTCATTGTTAAAGCACAGCACTAAGAAGCTAAAACCACTTAAGCATGAGTTCTATCCCTACCCTGGAGGTGACCCACATGGCGCAGCAGACTTCTCCTGACCAGCCTGCTGCTCCCCTCAGCAGTGTACTTCGCCAATCTGCCTATTCTGCTCCCCACCCTGTCTCTGGTGAATCCTCTCACCACCCCTGCACCTTTGGCCTGTACCCCAGTTCTATATGCATAAATAAATAAATCTTTAAAAAAGATTAAAAACGTAATGATTCGATCCCCTGTGACCTTAAAGTGTTAATATCTGACCATACAGCCATTACCAAACTCCCCTTCTAGCCACAAAAACTCTGGACACTTCCCCTCCAGGAAGTCACTTGCTGAATGTGTGAGTTCCTTTGCCAGGAAAATAAATAAGCTCAGTGTTTGCCTAATTTTTTGAACTTTGAACTTTTCCCTTCCTTTATAGAAAGTAAAGAGATGCTGTATTCTTGTGCACTGGAGTCCAGGGACTGAGCCACTGATTCATTGCACGGTCCAGTATGTCAAGAGAGGCCCCTACTACAGTGACCAAATGCCTGTCTGAAACTGGAATGCCAAAAAATGTGTAGCCTTCATTGATGAGAAGAATTGCTTGCATTCCCATAGCAAACTCTTAGCTGCTTTTTCCACTCCCCACCATCTCCTAAATGCTGAGATTTCAGTATTCCCTGGGGGCAGCTTATCTTTTGCTCTGAAAGAACCCCTTTGTGGATCTTTTTGTTTTGCAAATATGAGACAAAGCTGTCTCCAGAAAGGAGGCATTTATAGAACAGCTGTTGGGATGACAATATCAAAGGGGGAGGCTGAAAAGGAGCATCGCTCTTGGGAAAGGAGCAAAGATCAAAGGCTGATGGGTTATCTCTTGAATAATTTGGACATATAGAGCAACTTCATGGTCCAGGTGAACAGGTGAATTCCTGAATGAAAGGAAGGCTATGTCCCCTGCTTTTAAGAACATTTCTTGGGCAATCCATAGCCTATATTAAATGGTGTTTTCCCATGATATTTCTAAATGTTGTGCTGGGGCAAAATACTATAGGTTGGGTGGCTTATACAACTAAGTTTATTTCACACAGATTTGGAGGCTAGAAGTCCAAGATCAAGTTGTTGACAGGTTTGGTTTCTTCTGAGACCCCTCTCCTTGGTTTCAGATGAAATCTTGCTCCCTATGTTCTCATTTGGTTTGTGGTTGTCTGAGTCCTAATCTTTTTTTTTTTATAAGGATACCAATAAGGTTGGATTAGGACCCTTCTGTCCAGATGACCTCATTTTAGCTTAATAATCTTTTTAATTATCCTTCTCCAATTACAGTAATGTTCTGAAGAACTGATAGGATATCAACACTTGAATTTTGAGGAGACAGTTCAGCAAAAAGCATTCTGCCCTCATCCAAGTTCTTCTCCTTCTTGCAGGCAAAACACACCCATCCTATTGCAACAGTCCTGAAAGTTTTAACTCATTCTAGTCATCAACTCTAAACCCAACTCTATTACCTAAGTAAATGGTAAGTGAGACATGGAGTATGAGATTCATTTGAGTCAAAATTCTTCTCCAGCTGAGAACTGATGAAATCAGACAAGTTACCTGCTTTCAAAACACAATAGTGGGTCAAGCAAAGGTGATCAAGCAAAAGCTAGACATTCACATTTCAAAAGGAAAAATCAGAAAGAAATCAAAGGTCCCAAATAAGTCTAATATCTAGCAAGGAAAATTCCTCTTGATTTTGAGCCTGGCAAATCATCCTCCCTGGGCCCATTCTCTGTCCTCTGTCCACTGGTGGAATCCCAGCAGCCTGACAGCCTTTGTCCACTTCAGTTTGATTAGCAGCGTTTCTCCTGAGATGATTGGTTAGATCGATGAGTCACACTGTAATTGCTCTAGGGAGGGAAAGCCATACCCCTGACATTTTGTCCAGAATAAGCATTGTTTTATGAAACATGGACTATTTTCTGCATCTTTAAGGTCTAGTTTCTTTTTGCAAGTTCTAGTTCCTTTTCCTTCTTTAATTTATCTTTCTCTTCTCACTGTAGCAGTAAGAAGAAACCAGGCTGCACCTTCAAGATTTTGCTTAGAAAACTCCTCTGCTAGGAGGGAGCAGGATCAGGACAGGAATGAAAGAGCACAAGGCACTATGGTGATGGTGCACAGGTGAACTGGTGGTGGGAGTTTCATGGGGGAACCATACTCTATACAACAATGAACGCTAAAATAATGAATGTATTTAAAAAAACTAAAAATAAAAAAAGTCTCTTCTACTAAATATCCAAACCTATCACTCACAAATCCCATCTTCCACAAAATACTTGAACACAATTCAACCAAGTGCTTTGTTACTTCATCATAAGGGCTACCTCCCCTCCAGTGTTGAAGGTACATAAATACCTGTATTCCTACCAAGAGTTTCTTCAAAGCAATCTAGACTTTTCCTAATAGTAACCTCAAAACTGTTCAAGCCTCTACCCATTCCTAAGCCACCTCCACGGTGTTTAGATATTATCACGTTAGCATCTTAACATACAAAACTGGGAGGAACTTAACGTAGTCCATAATACTGGCTGTTGTATTATAAGAAATTTTTGATTTTTTGAGATTTAACATGGATTTGGTAAGTTTAAAACTTACTATTACTTCTAATGACTTTTCATGAGCAGTAACTACATAGCTATATGTATAGCTATTATATGTAGGGTGTTCCCCAAGAAAAAGGGAGGTTCCAGGTTCTCTGCCTCCCCCAACCCCACAAGAAACTTGGAGCTGAGCAGGAGGGAAGGAAGCAAGATAGAGAGCCAGAAGGAGACTTGAGGGAGGCATGTGCAGCAGAGAGACATGTGAGAAACTGCGCTTGCTCCTCCATCCTGGGGGAATAGTGTGGCGGCTGGGAGCGCGCCCTTGAGCTACCAGCAGAACGGCTCTCTCTGGCAACCACCCCTTCCCCCTGTGTACTGACCAATGCTACCCCTCCATCACAGTTTTGTTTTTTCCCACCTCTTTCCACCATATTGCTGCTCTTAACACATACAAGAGTCCATTATTTAGGGGTCACTGGCATTGTTTAGATAGAATCTGGTTTTAAGCGTGTGGAGTAGGAGAGTCTGTGGTCTTCATTCGGCCACCCTCTCTCGAAACTCCGAGACTGGACAGTGGAGAGAAGAAAATCTGAGCTGTCTTGAGACTCTGAGTCTGAAGCACAAAACGACATTCAGATTTGGGCAAGCTGATATTCTATTAATACTTAACAAAGAAAAAAGGAGGAAGATTGAGGAATCTCGGGACTAGGATTTCAGGATGGAGCGAAATAAAGCAATATGGAGCAGGTATGTTTTTGAAAGAAAACAAAGCAAGATAAAAGAAACTCATCAATTTTGACTCAATGTCAAAGCCATTACTGATATTACTCATTGGTTCATATAGCAAATATTTACTGAGTGTTTAGTCTGGGTCGGCAGTGAGTTGTGTAAGCATCAGCCCATTTTACCTCTGAGGGCAATTGCCCAGTGTCCACAGAGTTTGAACTTAGATCTATGGAGTTTGAAGTGCATGCACTGTTTCAAAGCATAAAAGGAAGTAAAACAATATAAACGAGACACAAAAAGGCAAAGCAAGGAGGATATCAGTGTAGAAAAATAACTTACTCTGGTAACATCTTAACTTTCAAAAATAAAAATTTGTGACTGATGTATTAGCTAACAATGTTTTAACGATATTCAGTTTTCAGAGACAGATGTATTTTAAATTCCCAATAACTATCATTTTAGACATGACAATTCTAGAATTTGAAATTCTAAATATAGTGTTCCAATATTAAGAAAAATTGCTTAAGAAAAAATGTGGCTAAAAAAAAGAACCATGCAGGGAATTATTAAGCGCCTCACTCTCTTTGTGTTTAATCACATGTCACTTTGTGTTGGTTTCAGCCTTGTCTGGCTACTAGAAAGTTCTTTGGAAGCAATGTTATGTCTCAACTTCCTTGTTGCAATCAAATTGTAAGTTACACGTGTGGAATTTATGTAAAAATTGGATATTGAATATTTGCTGATTTAACCAAATAAAAACAATTTCCTCAGTGTTCAATGGGAAATGCTTTCTATGAATTCAATAAACAACCAATGTGGGAGATTTTCTAGCACGAATCACTACTTTTCCCAAGAAAATCATAGGCCATCCTAAAACACCTTTATTAATATCAGCTTTGAAAATTTGGTTACATTCTGGAAGGACTTATTTTTTATGTTGACATTTTTAAGGTCAATAATTGGATATGTAGGATTTTCTTCAATATAATGTTGGAGCATTGGGTAAATATGAGAAATAGATAACCAGTTGAAAGGTGGTCAACTGGGTGATAAATAACAGCAATTTATATTATTTTATCTACTTTTATATGTTTAAATTGTTTTATAATAATACAAATTCAATATCTGACTAATCCTGAGTCAGTATTACACCTTACTCTAAATGGTAAAAAACTGATCACCATTTTTGGGCACAAGCTTTTTCTCCAAGGAAATATTAAATATACTTTTTAGCTCTTCTTCTATTTCTTCCTCATTCAGTGTCTTAAATTCTACCAGATCCATATTGTCCTTATAATTGAATTTCCTGTAGGTGAGGGTGAAGCCCACCAAACAATGAACCCCTTCTAAGGTCTGCAAGGAACAAATGGACTTGCTTGTGAATACAGATGTTGGAGAGGTCTGAAGGAATGTATTCATAGCTTCAAAATCTTCTATAGTTCTAGGTTCAAGAGTAAAGGAGTAGATTTTGCGGTATTTTCTCTTTTCCAAGAGATCAGAATTTAGAAAGTCCTGGTTTGGAATGCACTGCTCTCTTCTGATTTGGTCCAGGTACCAGATTCCATTCTCTTCTGTCAGGCGAAAGACACAAGGCACCTGAGGCTGATCCTTCCCAGAAACTAACTCCAGAGGCTGCCACATCTGGTAAGACCTTCCAAACCCAGTGTCGACGATGTAGTTCCTGCTGTCAATGGTCACTTTCAGCAGGAGGTGAATCATGCCAGTGCTGTATCTGTTGGCTGCAGTGTTGTAAACATACCCTCCTAATATTGTGGTCTCAAAACCGATCGTGGTCAGGACCCAGTGGAGGAGAAGATTCACCTGCAGACACCACCCACCCCGATTCTTCCTCACAACCTGATCAAAAGTGGCCTCCAAGCCCAGCTCCATGGTTTCTCCACAATGAATGTTGAGGTTTTCAAAGGGAATGGCTCGGATGTGGTGCTGAAAAATATCAGTCAGTGTTTCCAAGTCTGTTTTATGCCTGGAGTTCTTATAACCAATTCTTTCAAAATATGCCTCAATGTCCATGATTCCCTTAGGCTAGGGAAGTAAAAACAATATAGTGTGACTTTTGTACTTGAATTTCTTTGAGTAGATCCATGATAACTTCAATGTATCTTAAATACATCAATGTATTTTAAATATATTAATACACACAATATTTATAAATACCAGTGGGCACACTTCTTTTGTGTAGAATTTTCAGTGTATGAATAGTTTTCACATACAACAGTTGCCATAATCATCGCATCAGAAAAATGCTAGTACTTCTTTCACATTTCAAAAGAAGTTGGAAATCCAGATTAAATTATAAGTGATAAACAGCTTACCTTTGGTTTTCTTGATGATGAAATAGAGGCTTAAATGGTATCAGTTGAGACAGGGATAACAGTTATAAACAGGAGCATTACATAATAGAATATGTTGTGTTCTGTTACTCAACCCACACAATTTCACTTTGGTTGAAACTTACCAGTCAGTTTCTCTCCATTCAAAGATTTACATTCATTTCTTCATTAATTTATTGATTCACTCAATAAATAGTCTGCTGAAAATCTATTATATATTGGCTACTGATTGTTGCTTGCTTACCCTCAAAAATCTTACATTTTTGTGGGGGTTGGGATAACAAAGATAACAAACTAAATAAACAAATTAAATATGAAATTTCTTAGATTATAAGTTCTCTGAGAAAAGAGACAGAATGTGTCAGGGATAAAAAGAGAGCTTGAGATTCCAATAAAGTAGTCAAATATAACCTCATGGTGGCCACATGGATGTGAAAAATGAGCCACCCTCCTTCGGGCAGAAGAGATAAGCAGGGGAAAGGCCAGAAAATGGCCCTGCTCAGGGTCCAAGGAAGATCTAGGCAGCCAGTGTGACTGCAGCAGAGTGAGCGGGAGCTGGGTGGGGATGAGGCAGGCAGGTGACTGAGCATGAAGGCTTTGGTTTTATTCATCATTTTTTTTTTTAACTTTACATTTTAAAAGCACAGGTTTATTAGGAAGAGAAGAAAGTGACAGAGGCACCTGTATAGTGACAAGGAGACTGGAGAGCTGCTCTTTTGGCTTTCAACCTGACCTGTGAATTTATTGTATAAAAGGCACTAAGGGAACTTAGGGTTGGGCAAAGCACACTGTATTCAAACACAAGCATCTAATAGGTGGTCTTTGTGAATAGCTCCTTTAATTGAGGGTAATACTTTGAAGGTTCATTTATATTAAAACACATATCAGTACTCCACTCCTTTTCATGGCTGAATAATATTCAGCTTGTTTTAGCTCTTCCTTCTTATGGACAGTGGGTTGGTTTCCACCAGTGCCTGTTGTGAACAGTGCTGCTATGAACGCTTGTGTTCACATACTCTTTTCAGTATCTGTTATCAATTTTAAATGGTATATGCCTAGGAATAGTATGGAAGGGTTGAATAGAAGAATTTTAATGAATGTTTTGCCCCTCTCTTCTTTCTGTGTGTGTATTTATACCATTTCCTCTCCCTCCCTTCCTCCCCCTTCCTGGTCTTTTGTCTCTGAGGCCCTGCAAGGGCGCTACAACCCAGACCACCCCAGGGACAAGAGTTCAACACCACTTTTCTGGATGTAAAAGATTTGCTGAATCAGCTCTACCCACACCATCCCTCAGAAGTGCTTAAGTACCAAGGTGTGGGCCAGCCCAGATAGCACATCTGTGGGAAAACAGCCATTTCAGCTGGCGTCATTTGAACTGAGCCCAAGGAAGCAGGAAACCGGAGTGGTTTACATTTTTTGTTTGCTCTCCTTGGGAGAAGCTAATACCCAGATTCATGGTGAAATATGCCAGTTTATAAAGTTGTCTCTAAAATTTTTAAGCCTCCAAAGGCCAGGCAAAATAAATTTCTGGACAGCATGCAGCTAAGTAGTTGTCAGCTAGCAAGTTCCTGTAGGGTGAGAGAGGGTGGGGTCAGATGTTTTGTGAATGAGAAACTAAAATGAGGGTTCTCTTAAGGGAAAGAGCAGTTTATCAAGAAAAGCCACCAGGCAGCTATAGTTGTGGCCCTGTGCAGAATGGGCAGTGGCACCCAGAGTGGGGGCCACAGGACCCGTGGCTCCAGGGTTCCCCTAAACTGCTCCTCACCCTTGGCTCCAGGGTCCCCCAGACTGCTCTTCACCCCTGACTCCAGGGCTCCCCCTAGACTGCTCCTCACCCCTGGCTCCAAGACTCCCCCTAGACTGCTCCTCACCCTGGCTCCAGGGCCCCCCTAGACTGCTCTTCACCCCTGGATTCTGCACAGCTGTGCTTGGTCAGTTTCCCTCAATCTGCCTCAGAGAAGTTGCTGACTCCTGTTTGCGATTCCTGGAGCCTTTGACCACTAGTCTCCTGCCAATACCATGGTCGCCCCCTAATCTTTGCAGACCAAACAGCCTGGCCTCCCCTCTGCACTTTGGGGATCTGTAGAGAAGTCCCCATGAGCAGGAGGATAAGAACTTGTGGTGAACTTGTTGTCTAAGGATTAACTGGGTCCCTCAGACACATCCAATCCCTATCAGAGGAAGTGGAAATCACTGTAATAACATTCCAGAGGATATCCAGTTTCCAAACACACGTTATACACTTACTTTTTAAATATGTTTCTTGAATCCACACAACAACCTTTTAAGGAAGTATGTTTTAGCTCCACTTTATTGCTGGAGAAAATGCATTTTAGAGACACTAAGTGACCTGCTCAAGTCCTCACAGCTGGTGTGCTGTGGCTGTGACCTTAGCCCGGGCTGTGTCCATCAGGCTGCAGACCTCAGCACTTTGCTGAATAGTAGGATAGCACAGCATTCCAAACTTGTAAATAATGTCAGGTCTTGAAATGTGGTGCAGTAGCCAGACCTCTGGACCCACATGAACCCCAATTTCAAAGGATAAGCAAGGAACTCACCGATCTCCACTGGGACCCCAAACCAGGAACCAAGTCCTGCCACTCATTGGACAAGCACAGGAAGTGTCCTCACTGGCTTCCCAAAGTGCTCCGCCCCCAGAGACACCCTGAGACTTCTGGGAAATGTAGTTGTTAGAGCTCAGCTCCTTCTTAGGCACCTTTCAATCAGATCTCTTTATTGAAAAAGATATACACACCCACACACATCAAACTGTTAGTAGGAAAGGTGTGACCTAATATTTAAAATAATCCCTGCTTCTGAAGAACGTGAAGTTAGAAGCCTTATGTATAGTTTGTGAGGTAAGTTTTTTTTTAAATCAAGTATGGGAGAAGGAACTGAATGTTTCAACCCTTTAATCACAAGATTGGCATCCCTGGTAACCAATTCTTTTTTTTTAATGCATACAGAATTGGGGTACAGGCCAGAGGTACAGGGGCAGCGAGAGGATTCTCCAGAGTGGGGAACAGAATGAGCAGATCAATAAAGTACACTGCTGAGGGGAGCAGCGGGCAAGACAGGTGAGGTCCGCTGAGCCATGTGGGTCACCTTGTGGGATCAAACTCACAATGAAGCTACCAGGTTTGGCTTCACCTTGCAGTGCAGCGCTCCAACCCAGTGCACCCCTAGAGAGGGCCCCCTCGTAACCAGTCTTACCCTTTTCCAAAAGTCACCCTATCAACATATTAAAAGACAACTTATTACTCTCATCACAAAATATAAGGGTTTTACTGTGTCAGTAATGTAGACAAAAACCAAATATATATTTCCTATTATACATCATAATATGACACTGTTTAAGTCACCCAAACAATCCCAGGCACTGGGTAAGTTAGGCAATTGAGCACAAGTTTAGTGAATTACTAAATTGCAGGGCTAGGATTGTAGGATTGTAGGGGCTGCAATCCCAACCTCTGCAATATACACTATTCCTGTTTCAGTGAAATAAGCCGCTCCCACCAGTCCACTCACAGCAAGTGAAGGTTACATAGAGGCAGCTCTTCCAACATTTGCCATAAACCACACAGCGCTGTATATAAACAGAACACTGGCTGTCCCCGCCAGCAGTGAGCCACTTCAGCCTAAGTGAGCCACACAGTGGTTCCCTTGTCATGCATAGCAATCCTGGAAAGTTCTCTTGTCTTCCTGGTACCACACAAAGGGTCTGAGAAATCTGTCATCAATTCAGAACGTCTCTCACAGGTTCCTTGCCTGGCCGTCCATCACAACTCAAACTAAAGAGTCTTTGGTGAAATAAATAATAATAATAGTAACAATAACAATAATAATTTATTATAACCAACAGGGGAGATGAAGAAAAAGTCCAGAGGGAGAGTAGAGGTGGAAGGTGGAGTGGCAGCTACAGGAGCTGGCAGGGTGTTGCAGAGGCAGAACAAGCCCACTAGCTTCACTCCGTTTTAAATGCTTCAAAAAATATGGCCGCTCGGCTGCGCCTTTTTCCCAGCAGCCCCTTGCTCAGGACATGGCAGGAGGAGCGGTGCCTCCCGCAGTGTGGGATCTGAAAGTCAGGGTATCCTGACTGTCGCTATCCTGGGGAGGGGAGAAAGCTGCAGCACCCACAGCGCGAGGGGTGCAGGCTCCCTCCAACGATCCACAGCCACCCGGGCTCTCTCTCCTTCGTGAGCCCTCCCGAGGCCCCGACAGCTGTCATCCAATCAAGGTCTCTGGCCCTTCCTGCCCAAAGACGCTGAGGGCAGCTCATCACGGCAGACGAGCACCTTTAAGGCAGTGCTCCTTAGCTGGAATTGACTTTGCTCACAATGGAGCATTTGGGAACAAATGGAGATGTCTGGATTTTCATAAGCGAAGTGCTACGGTCATCTGAAGGGTAGAGGCTGGGTCTGCTGCCTCTTAGGATACCCCCCCCCCCCAAATTACTTTTGTGATATCCCTACAAAGAATTACTCAGCTTAAAGTATCAGTATTGTCAAGCTGGAGAAACCTTCAAAAGAGGCTGTGTGTTAAGCAAATAGTAGAATTTCAGGCACAGGTAATCAGTGGGAGCAAGTGGGAGTTTTTTTTTAAACTCTACATCTTTCTGTTTTTCCTGAAACGCTAATTGGCAGATGACCAGAGTCATGTAACTGGTTCTGTATTTGGCTAAGTGATGAGAGAATGTTGCCTTGATGCATAGCTTCAAATTTTTTTTCTTTCTAAGCAAGTGAATTTTTGGAGCGGGCCCGTCTAACTTTTTATGGAATCTGAATTCCTGGCTTTGGTTGGGTTTTCCTTGTGTAATGCACAAAGGAAGGATGTTTATGATTTCTAAAAATATCACTGAGCTACATAATTACTACTTTTAATGCCATCATGTAAAAATATTATCTTACTTTATATGGTTATTTGGTACAAAGTTAAGTATGTAGAGTTCTAGTAATTACCCAGGTGTTATTATTATTTTTTAAATCATTGCAGACTAAGGAGAACAAATAATCTTGTTCACTTTAATGTCAACAGTAAAACCAGCGGACCGTACGGTCTTAATTTCATGCTGTACAGATAAAGGCTTCACAAGTACTTCCCCCAGATGACTGTTCCTAGAAATAACCTCCCTGTGTCCTATAACACATCTGTATTGAACCACCTCATTCTTTTCCAGAACTTAATTGCTTTGAGACAAATAAACCTCAAATCTGTATCTCAAGCATCAGACTGTTCTCTAATTTCTGATACCTCACATGTAATTGTCTAGCAATTACCATACCTAGGTGACTTGCCACTCATTGGAGACTGACTAAAACCCAACTGGTCATCATCCTGCCCTCAGCTGACTTCTCCAGTTAGCCATTCATTTTTCTCAGTCACGTATAATCAGAACTATTGTTTCTTTTACATTTGTCCTTCCCCGTCCTTATTTCTTAATCAAATCTATCACAAGGTCATGAAAGGTCAACTACTGCAGTGCTTCTGGCTGTACTCCCCTCCAGACAATTTCTCTGCTGCCACCATAATGCAGCTTCTGTTCTCAACTCCCCTTGACGGTCGCAAGACAGTCCTCACTGACCTCCCTACTCAGGGATCTTCCTGTGACTGGATGTCTCATCATGTCACCCCCTGACCCAAAGCTTTCAGCAATGTCTCTTACTAAACCCTTCACCCTGCTTCCCAAAGATGTATAAAAGATGTGCAAAAATCCTTTAAAAATTAAATAACACTGTTTAAATGTTATTTACTAACAAAGCTGCTTCTTATTGTTTTATTTATTTATTTTAAAGATTTTATTTATTTATTTTTGCATAGAAGAACTGGGGTGTAGGCCAGAGGTTGTGGGTATGAGGATTCACCAGAGACAGAGTGCGGAGCAGGACAGGCAGGTCTACTGAAATACACTGCTGAGGGGAGCAGTGGGCAAGACAAGAGCAGTCTACTATGTCATGTGGGTCAGCTCCCTGGCCAGGAATTGAATTCAGGCCATTGAAGTGATATCTCTGAGACTTAACCCCATGGCCACCAGGGAGGCCTGTTTTATTTTTTATGTTTTTAAAGATTTATTTATTTATGCATACAGAACTGGGTACAGGCCAGAGGTGCAGGGGCAGTGAGAGGATTCACCAGAAACAGAGTGGGGA